GGAAATTGGAGATACGTACGGGAAAACTCACCACTGAGGTCTAAAGGCACAGTCTTTATGATACTTTAATGGTTACCGTCTCTTCAGCCGGTAGTTATTGTTGTTGCCGTCATCGTGAAATCTCGGTTGAAAGATTTGATAGCGCCCACTGATCAACAGACTTAACCAATGAGTAGAAAGGAACTGAATTAGTGCCCTAACTCGATGCACTCTTCAGTCCCCCGCAAAATGAGTTGTTGTAGCGCATTATTTAGCTGCCTGGCCTCGAGAACAAGAACAGGGTACCCGAGCGAAAAGTCTCGGGAAGCACCGGATTTGCTGAGCAGCGAATTGGGGATTTATTTGGAAAAACTATAAGCAAAGACCACAGAGTCCTCTGGCGATGTCCGTGGTCAAGAAAAACATACCTGTTTCCAAACCCACCGTTCAAAGGTGAAACTGGAACTGGGATATGAATACAAAAGCACAATAATGTCACTAAGGCTGCCCTTCACTCCGCTCATGTGAAATACTTTTTAAGAAGACATCCGATACTTCTTCTGAACAACAAGGAAATGCTATCGGTGTTGACGTCGTCCATGGTTGTTTACACCTTCAGTCAAATGTATGACGCTTCCTACATAGGTTGCGAGACCGGTCTGCTCGCGGCTTGCACCTGCGGCCAGTATCCCAAATACAGGCCTTGTAACAGCACAAAATCACTCAGAGACACTACCATCATTCTCATATACCAGGTTTTAGATACAAACATAGCTTTAAAGGCTATGTGTAGAGTTTACCGTCACCCACCCAAACGAGTGCGTAAGCGTGTTCCGGAAACAGATCGACCAACTTGTGTTAGGTCGTCAGAACATAGTCTACACCCGACCTTTGCTTCTCGACTTCCCCTGTCTAGGCTTGGGCAACCTGGCAGTATCCCAGCCCTCGTGCAACCTTAGGGTGGCATGGCAGTTGGGCACCGAAAGGGTGCTACAGCTGAACGATTTTTTCCTTATATTTCTACACAAACAGAGAGGGGCTTGCAGAAGTGACCACATAATCATAAAAAAACTAGCGGACTCCCGTGTCAAAGATTACGGGGAACACGAAACCTCTCTGTGCGCATCTACGTACAAGTCAGTCGAATAAAACTAAATAACATTGCTTCCTCTTTATTCAGCACTTGTCTGCTGCTTGTGTAGAACAAAATTTGTACAAACCGGCTGGTGACACTGAAAACTAACATTAGGCTGCTATATGTTGTTCTCAATGATAGCAAACCGAAATCAGTGAACTCCATTGCGTTTACCCACTCACACATGGGCCTATGTTATCATCGTGACCTGCTCATAAAGGCTCGAAACAAAAAATGCTGCTTCTGGGTATAACACGTGAAATCAACGACGCGCATGCTGCTAATCGATGTCCTTGGCGTTCTTCTGGTCGATTTCCATCCATATAACTTGAATGAGTGTCTGGAGGTGTGCTAAGCTAGCAATGAGTCCCTTCCCCGTCCACTTTTATTTTTCTCTTCACAATAAGACTGTCATTTAAAAACCATGGTTGGACGGCAACGAGGCATCAATTCTGAACACTGATGTCATTCTGTCGATCATGATGATGATCCATTATGTTGCGTTCCTGATCCCATAATCATAAAGATGCATGGACGGATCCTAGTTCAACATATTGGTTGGCTGGATTCGCTGTGAAGAACCAATCTTCCAGGAATTTCTGTGCATAGTTCGTAACTCAGCATGGTAGATAAATCACATTTTCTAAACGGAAAAGCGGTGTTCTCAATCATTTTTATATATACAAACTGGAGATTTTGGACCAAGCTCGCCTCGTACATCAAAGGTCCGGAGCGCAAATATCCGGTTCCCATAAGTGAACATCAAGAAGATTATGATCCTGGCGCATAAATGTACAAAACATGAGGGAATAGCCAAAGGTTTGACTCTTATCGAATGAATTCCGTTCAAGATCACTGTGGAGGTGTTTTCCTGTTCATATTGTTAGCACATTTTGGGGGTGGATTCATGAAGCCCCCAAGCAAAGGGACATTTGCTACAAGAAATAAATACGTGGTACAAGGGGCACTTATCTTGCAAAAAGGGACTACTTTGTAACAGCTATACGGATTGTTAACCGGACTCAAACGCCACCTTGCATTCTTTACTATTATCCGGGTAAATATCCAGCAGAATTACATCTAGTAATATACTCCAATTAGCCCCATCAACACTACCTACAATGTCCTTGAATTGAACGGTAGCAGATGTAGATGACATGCAGAAAACTACCAAGTCAATAGCTAATAGCTGGTGCAAAGCAAAATGAGCACAGAACAAGCGTGAAGGCACACTTGGTTATACTTTTAGCACAGAATTTAATCCGCTCGAAGGAATCTGAAAAAAGGCTGTCCTGATAGTGGCACATGAATGGACACCTGTACTATTTTAAGTCGTACTTCCAAGTGATTGATGGATTCAAAGGGTGTCCTGCGGCGGGTCGTATGAAGTGCATAAAACATAAACCCATAGAGATGAAAGACGTTCTCAGTGAACATAGTAATCAAAATGACAGAGTTACGTCAAACGGAAACGGGATCAGGAATTGTAGTAGTTACTTTGTCGAACTATTGAAACTGTTGTAAGCAGTAAGAACTATTCAATTTGGGCTTGAAACGAAATTGAGAAAGTAAACGAAACAACGACAACCATTGGCTTCCTTGTCACAAACCACGTTAATCCAGCAACATCGACTCTGATAGCTCGTCGCTGTCAGCATGTAAACATCATCAAACAGTTGTGGCTCCTAAATGGTGCCGTCGCTGAAATTCAGCTGAAATACTGGGTGTACAGGCTGTTCACGTTACACGAGACTGGAACAATCACTGGATCGATATTTACGAAAACCTAGCAACTTAACGCATGAGCAATTTCGATCCGAAACACCAAAGAAACCGGTTCATCCCTACGTAGGAGGCATCAAAAGTAAACAAAAGGAAGGGAGAAGATACACCTAACATCTGATAAATAGTTGTTCCGCAACGTGAATGTGCATTGTTAATCACGATTAAATTGGTATGACAGGCATGACTATACGGGCCTTCTCCGAGCTTGGTCCATGAACGCTAAACACACCCACTTCGAATTGGGTTTCTACTTAGGTAGGTTTAATGTTCACACACAGAAGCACTCACGACAACGAGCCACTCTTGATCGTGCGCTGGAGGAATCCGCTCCAGCTGGATTAGGCGGGGTCAGTATTGTGTTGAGCGATCGAGCGAAAGCATCTTTACTTGATTGGATACCCGTTGATAGTAGCCTATGTGTGGCGCGTTTGGCAACTTGTGTGAAAGAATCTAGAGAAAGTGAGGCTCAGCGCACTCTGTTTAATGTCTGCTAAAGCCCTAACTGACTGTAGCTCTGAATCTATCGAGGACAATTTATGGTGCTCTGGTTGCTCTTTTACAACGGACAAAAAGCTCAGATATCGTTGTGGTTGTTGGTGACATGAACGCTCACGTAGGTAAACTACTAGCTGCTGAGGCCCAATTGGGTTGAATATGAGACTCAATATGAGACTCACGCACAACGAAGAACGCTTGCTTCAAATGTGTACCGATCAAGGACTGTTTCCTTGCAGTACCAGTTTCCGGGACTGGCAGAAATCGCTCGACAATGTGGTGCCCACCAACGAACTAGTCCTGAATCCAAATAGACCGGCGGTGAGGGCCGATCACTTGCTGGCACTCCTGGAATCCCAGCGTGAAATCATAGCGTACACTGGTTCGCTGGTGCGAGTAGGTCCAGAAATCAAGCGAAATTTCGTGAACCGATCCTTTAAGCGCCTGTCGGACGGTCCGAGTTCCGATGCTAACAGCCACTGGAAACAGCTGTTGAGAGCACTACTTACAGTCGAAACCTCTGTCTGCGACATAGCTCGGACAACTTCAACACACTGTATCTCTGATAGGACGGTTGCCTTTGTGAAGGCCCCATGACAGATTCCCCTCGACCGGAACCACAATCAAACTCGATGTATCATTTGACACCGGGTGGGACTGAGTGTCCTTGCAGACCGAGAATCTGCGTGGACCCGTAAGACCGAAGAGAAAGAAGAGGAAAATGCGGGAAACATCTGCAGGCTGTCCCACTTAATTCGCTCGACTTATCATTGTAAACAAACCCGAGTGAGTCTTAACAGGAGCGAAAACCACTCTGCGGTGCTACATCATCCGAGTTCTGTTCATAAACGTACTGGAAACTAAGTAATTTGTATGCTGAATGGTGGATAAAAGATTCCTGCAGTACAAACGAAAGTCTCTACAATGACCTACAGTTACTTAGTTAGAAGTCTGATTATTCACCAGTAGATAGATTATCTTGATAAGTTCATAGCTCGTTAAGAAAGTTTCACGGCCAGTCCACATGCTTCAGCTGTGCAAACCGGCCACTGGGCGGGCTACATTGCAGTCAGCAGCCTCAAACTGGTAGCCGAAGTACGTCTGACCGACCTACGATCAGCTGACGAACCTCAATAAAAAGGAGTCCCAAGTAGGTGAGATGAAACAATCTTATTGGCCATCAGTAGCCAAATAGTGTGAATACATTTCGCTTTTCTATAGAACGGAGAGGGAAACCAGCCAAGAAGAATCTGGGCAGGGTTTCGGAGCTTAGTTCACGCTACAGCCCATGGGATTTTCTGTGAACAGGTTAAATAGTATTTTCTGAGGTTGAACGGACGGAGAAGTGAGGCAGAGTAGAAAAAGGAATAATACTTACAAAGGGTCAGGATGAGAATTCACGAGAAAAGCTGAAGAAAGCAAACCGTCCATCTTTACCGTGCTTCTGATGTAAGGGTGCCGCGACCAGAAAGAAGCCTGGATAGAAGTAAGGAGCAATCGATGCTATGGAGCATTTTCATTATCTCCCCTTGATAAGGAATGCCTGCTTCAGTTCCTGAACTACACCAAGCTCGCGATAAGGAAGAAGTTTGATACAATGTGAAAAATGTCTCATCCTGGGACAATGAAACAATCACAAGTGGCAGCGGAGCAGACTGTGGACAAACATAGAAGGGTGAACATCGGCGGGAACCTGAATGGTAGAAAAATCTACAAGCCTATAGGGAAGGGTAAGGTAAAACTGGTCTCATTAAGCCTATTGGTTATACAGAACAACAGTAGAGCGCAGTGAAACAGACCAACACATGGTTAATGTCAATCACTGGGTGTCTGGAGATCAGCCGTCCCTAATAACCGAACATCACATCATTTGGACGGATGTGTCACGTGTAGGACATGGACCAAACGAAGGCATGCCTGATTGGTCAGAATGCCAGCCAATCCGGATCGAGCATCCTTGACTCGATGCTTCTCGCCCCCATACGGAGATTCCAGCACGACCATGTGGAACACCTTGTGATTGCCGTATAAATACAGTTCTAATAATTTTCCTTTGTTTCTATAAAGGGCTGTGTAGAGCTACCGTGCCTTTTGATATACCGTAGTGGGCGGAACAAGAATCCAAAGGAGAGTTGCACGATCGTCCATCAATTCACAACACTAGGCCAGCCATTCACAGTCTAGAACAGTCTATTTATGCTAGGCTGGTTGGTGAGTGCTGATTGAGTGATGAGGTGCCGGTGACAGGTGATATGTTGGGCTATTTATGTGCTTTACGTAGGTGCACCATCATCATCGATGATAGCAGAAAAAACTTACATGAATTATGTAACAGATTGTAACAACGGTCAGTCGAAAGCTAGAGCGCTTTCGACATATTGCCCAACTGCGCACATACAGCTCAGCGCGAAGGAAACCGACTAAAGGATGATTCAACCTCAGTGCAATGTACTGAACACACAAGACAGAACAAGTGGTTCGCTGCAACCCGCAGGATTGCTCTTATGGTAAGTCTTAGTTACCAGGTGAGGGAAATGACCAGAAAGACAAAAGTTGGTCCACTTACTTCGCCATTGGTTCGAAATTCAATATAAACTTGAGTATTTCTATTTTCTGTGTGTCTGGCAGATTCTTCGCGAATTCCGCAATCGTGTTAATAATAGCATCTTGGAACTGCCGTTCCTCGTAAGTTGAATGCATCCGGTTGTCAGGGCTCAGTTCAAGTGCTTGTGGGGTTTTGTCTATGCTGGCTCGTAATATCTGCAAAGGAAATAGGCCCTTCAGATGTATCAATCAAGAATCGAAACTCACTGGGTAGGCGTAGATGGTAGCGAGTGAGAAGCAACAAAGGAGTAATGAACGTTCAATCCTGTTGCGAGATCAACTGCTCACTGGTACTGGAAAACCAACAGATGATTGACTAACATAAGAGGAGCAGAAGCTTAAAGAACCCAGCTAATTTCTTGACATGACAATCGGTTTATAAGGTTGCTGAAAACTTCGGCGGTACACTGCCAGTTTCGCCCCTCTGGGGGCTCATCAGTCGGGAGAAGTCCCCTAGTTTCCATCGACCCTAAGTTCTGCTTGATGTTTTACTTTACGTAATCAATGAAATATACTCATCTGCAACTCGCATTGGTGTCAACGACAAACTCAACTAGATCTCTGTTTCCTGATATCCTCCAACGAAATGTGCTGCTGAATGGGACTACGCTTACCTAAAGATCCCCAGAAAGGACTATTGGAAAGTTTTCAGCAACTTTGTGAGTAGCACTGCAGTAAACTCAGCAGAACAGTGTCAGTTACGAGAAGTCAAGTTGTAATTCTCAAATGGGTGGATTTCAATTCAGTTATTCCACATGTTGCAAACCCAAAAACCGCAATGGCAGTCAGTATTGTGAAAACGACACGCCAAAATTCATTTAAGAAGCGTAACAAAGATAAAGTCGGATGCAATTTCCCATGAATAACTGAGACTTATTCGTTTTTTGACCTGAAACGTGATAACCGCTTTTCGCATGGGAAAGAGGGTGGTTAGAAATCCTATTACGTGTCAGAATCAAGCCTAGTAACGACTAAAATGTGTAGGAAAAAACAGCAAAATAACTACAAAAAAGGAACAGTATCAACACATCAGCAGGAGAAAAAATCTGATGCATTCCTGAAACTTATACCTTGAAAAGAAATGTAACCATAAACTCGACATACCAATAACGTATTGTATTAGTGGGTCACAACAGGTATGTAATGCAAGCACACAAAGGTGAAAAACGAACAGTCTGATGAAGGCAGGATGTGGAAAAGACATTCTTAAAAAACGTTGACCACAAGACGGTTGGTATGGATTGAGCAGGCCGATCACTATCGCATCGGTTGAACATGAAGCTCAGTAATGTGTCCGGAATTCAAAGGAACGAAGCCTTGCTAGTTTTTCTAAGTGTTTGAGTGGGCGTGTTCAAGTAAAAGTCAATGAATCGGCTTCACTCAATCACATCTTACTGCTGATTGGTCTCGTATATTACGCTAAAAGATGAAGATTATAGTGATAGCCCACCCTATCGACGGCATGGCACTGATACACAGAAAGGGCATTCCAATTGTTTAGGTAGACAATTTATACAAATGTTGTATCCAGACCGAAAGAAATGGCTATGGTGACATAGAATCAAAGACCACTGTGTAAAAGACCAGACTATTCTGACGGCTCTCATAGAATAAAAGACCAGACTATTCTGACGGCTCTCAAGCCCGAGTCACTGCATCTGACCCTGATTCTGATGTCGTGGGCGAAAAATCACCAACGGAACAAATGTAACGTACAAATATTGCTTCCCGTGAAAACAACCGCTGATCACGCATTCGTATGTGATCCTGGTAAACAGTGAGATGCAATCGTCTGCCTAGCCGATTGGTATGGCAGCCTAAAAGTAGTCAGGTCTTAGTCTATTCATGAAACTGTCTCTAAGGAGGTAGTCATTATGTACCAAGTCCTCAAAAGTTACCCTCGCGCCGTTAACCCGGAGATTTCCTCTGAACATCAACACCAACCAGCGCCTTAGTAAAGTTACCAGTACACATAAGAACTGAAATGTTGGGCAGGCTGTTCGCTAAGCAGGATGATGTGTTAGTGGAGGCTTAATGGTAAAGGTAAGGACACAGTGCCCAAGATCAATTGGTTCCAGCCAAAACACGCCAAAATCGCTACTGTAATGAGCACGTTCCATCATGAATAGAGATAGACACTTCAGTAATCTCCAGTTTGCTACCTGATGTATCAGGTTGAATGAAGGTTCAACTGAAGAACATGGTAAACCTGGATAGTGGGAAAGTACCGATTTTGCGGCTTCAGACGAGTCATAGGACACGGAACATCTAGCAAGACAAATTCACTCAATGAGAAAGAGGACAATGCACGGTTACATATGACAGCAAAAGTTAAACCAACAGTTATGTCTCGGAACTACCTGTAGTAAAGCCTTGAAATTATGAAAAACGTCCGGACCAATGGCGCCTTTTGCCAGACCAATCACTGTCAGACCGATGACCTACATTCAGAAGATAGAGGCAACACAGAAGTCAATGTCTGGCCTCGTGGGAGAAAAACAAGTACGAAGTAAACAGACATCCAAGGCTCTTGTCTTTAAACAAACAGTGATCTTTCAGGCGAGAAAGCTAGGAAGAAGAGACGTGACAGGTAGTACGAATAGGTGGAACAATTTGCTGATAATTCTGACACATAACTCCCGATAAATCCCTTGAGGTCTCAAAAAAAAGGATTCGCCACCACTCGCACAATGCACCTACAGCTGAATTGGAGTATTCAACAAGGATGAAGCAGATTGCACTGCATAGTAACTGTTGCTTCTATAGAGTGACCCCCACCCTTACAGTCACCACTCACCCAACGATAAAACTTCCTGTGAAACTCTGTACATTCAATATGAAATCAATAGTGTTGAAACAGTAATACCTAACTTTTGAACATTTCTGAACGCATTCCTCTTCTACAAAGACTAATCCTATTGAATGATCTAGTTGGTTTGCTAGCTCGCTGTGTGCTTGTTACACTTGGCAGCCTTCCCATGCCTAGCTGCCATGCCACTCGAAGGAAGCACGAGGGCTGGCGATACTGCCAGATTGCACAAACGTAGACAGAAGTCGAGATGCATAGGTTCCAAGCCCGGACCTTCCTGTAAGTAAATTCGCGCTCTAAGCACTGAGCCATCTGGCCTAGCAACAACCAGACCTGATCTAACTAAAGCCTTTTGCTACATCGGCCCGTACCGATGAATCGGATGAGTCGCCCTAATTTACGGAAACACCGGTAGCCGCATATCGGGACGATTATTGTCAAATTGACAATAACCAAGCACCGATTGGAGTGGTGCAACGTCGACCTTAATTCACCCATTGGCGCCGCTGACACGCATTAATTACCATTGTAGTTGAGCGACAAGCTCAGACAGGCGTGGTCAAATGAGTGAATGCGATTCACCTGTGAATAATCGGTAAGTCTGAACATTGGAAATCGACACAAAGCGGCTGCAATGTCATATCGCCCACCAAGCAATCCCTGTGTACCAATAGGTTTACCAGGGTAAAGCTAAAAATGTACGGTCGAACCAGTAGGTGAGAATTGGCGGCTTGACCGACTGGAATAAGAATTTTTCTAAATAATAAGGCACAATCAGTCTTATTAAAGTGACAGCTTCTACTTGTCGAACCACCGGTCTCCGAAGGACACACTGAACTTTCATCTCGCCGATTTCAGACACCAGCGCGAACTGGTGCAGTAAACCCAAATCAGCCGATCCAGCTGATTGACAAAGAAAGGGGTCAGTGCGCCCTTAAAAAAGCGATATCGTAAAGGATACGTAAAATGACGCGTTGCGCGAAAAACACGAGGGGAGACAACTCTAAAACACAAAAGCGCGCTACAGGGGATTGTGTGAATCTATGCTTAGCACATGGGGTTATCGGTCTATCACCTGAGCTCGCGAGCCATCCTAAACCAGAGGCATAATCTGACTAAAACAGAAAACAACTTCTATGAAGAAACAATAGTGATAAGGAGATTGAGAACACTTCGACAGCAGTTTCGCCCGTCTTGGGGTTCATCAAATAGGTGCAGTCCTACTTCAGCTGTATGCTCCCTTTGAACAAAAATTGTGCGGAATTATTGGCTGACGATTGGTTGGTGGTTGGTATGAACTCTGGGCTTTTCATCATCAATCGAAAAGATACTAACCGTGTGCGATCAAACGGGCATTGACGATGTTCCCTTGATTATTTGCGAAGTGTCTGCAAACCAAATGGCAAGCCCGCCAACTGGTTTCACCGTACACCAGAAAGTCCCCATTCTAGAGGGGGAACGCTGTAGTAAGACAACAAGCCTTTCATATGATTTCACCTCCGAAGAAATCAGCCTGCAAAAGTCTAGCGTAATTAGAACCCAAACATCTTTAACACCGCGTTTACTTCAAGAACTGGTCTAAGACAACAGTTAAACTTCATGTGTTGAGTGAAGTTAGCTCCACCAAACTGATCAGTTGAAAATAGCTTTTAGCACACAGCCGACATGCAAACCGTGAGAATCATAGTACCAGTTCGTAAAGACGTAAAGGGAACATCAATCTAAGCGAGAACTCAAACATTACTTCTCTGTTCACCATATCAATCTACCTGAAGTGCAAAAACATGTGTGAACAAGTAAACTATCATTTCAGTCTTAGAGAGTGCGAATGACCCTCCACTTATTCTCAAAACAAACGAAAATGTCAAAGAAATAGGAGCTACCCAGCTGAATTCTCCCAACCCATTGAATCTGCTAGATTGTCACTGCAAATGCCGTGATAATCGACAAACGCTACGCCATACGTTCTGAGTTAGCTGATGATGAATTGGATAGCACCTACCTGAACAACACATGTGCGCTCCGGTAGAGAGAAGTCGGACTCATGAAGACTGAGATGATCCACCAGTTGTTTTACAAGGCCGTGGGCAATTTGAGTATTCTGTCAAACAGAACGAAGCAAACGGCAGAGAACCAGTTGAACAGTACGGTCCAAAATAAACCGATAAATGCGCTGAATCCCCCAAAAACGGGGACCTCTTTGAACAATACTAAAAACAGCACTCCTTTGTAGCCTATTCATTACCCGCCAAAATGAACAACTCAATAGGCCTAATTCTTTTCCCAGTGCGGACGTTCACGCAGGGTCCACATAATCTATGCGCACTCAATCCAGTAAGGATGAACAATGAGTGAAGCAACCACCAAATAAAGCAAGGACTTGAACATCGGGTTCTGAAGGCCATCCAACGTTCGGCTCATGAATGACGGAATTCGACGAAAATGAAATCAGTGGACACCCTTTAGGAAGACTCTCGACAGCTCAACTTGCACACGCCCAAAGGCATCTCAGTATATTGACCAGATTATGTTCACAGACTTGTGGGGAATCCTCTTTAGGCAGTTGTGGTTAAGAACACTGACCGATTGACAGAATCGAGCGCACCATTGAGGTCAAGGAACACCAAGACTGTGGGTCGTCGGTACATAAGGCTTTGCTCCAAAATCGGACGGTGTGAAGATGTGACTGACGCGTCCTCTACCCGGTCGGAATCCAGCTCGACGGTCATGGCTCCAGATTTCGCGTGGCATCGTGAGACGACGAATCAGTGATGCCAGAAGCCATGTTACAATGAAAGTCAAACTGATACCCCTACGGTCACCGAATTCATTGCGAGTGACCTTTTTAAAAGTGGGCATAGTTATAGACTCACGCTGATGCAGCGTCGAATGTAGCAGTCGATGGATGAAGCATCGTAGAGTGGTTTTCGCTCCTGTTAAGACTCACTCGGGTTTGTTTACAATGATAAGTCGAGCGAATTAAGTGGGACAGCCTGCAGATGTTTCCCGCATTTTCCTCTTCTTTCTCTTCGGTCTTACGGGTCCACGCAGATTCTCGGTCTGCAAGGACACTCAGTCCCACCCGGTGTCAAATGATACATCGAGTTTGATTGTGGTTCCGGTCGAGGGGAATCTGTCATGGGGCCTTCACAAAGGCAACCGTCCTATCAGAGATACAGTGTGTTGAAGTTGTCCGAGCTATGTCGCAGACAGAGGTTTCGACTGTAAGTAGTGCTCTCAACAGCTGTTTCCAGTGGCTGTTAGCATCGGAACTCGGACCGTCCGACAGGCGCTTAAAGGATCGGTTCACGAAATTTCGCTTGATTTCTGGACCTACTCGCACCAGCGAACCAGTGTACGCTATGATTTCACGCTGGGATTCCAGGAGTGCCAGCAAGTGATCGGCCCTCACCGCCGGTCTATTTGGATTCAGGACTAGTTCGTTGGTGGGCACCACACTGTCGAGCGATTCCGGCCAGAAATCGCAGAATGATGCTGTGCATTCGAAACACAAAACAAAACTCTGACTCTGGTGTGGATGACCCGCATCCCACCATTGTGTCCGAAACTTTTGAATTCAGGTTGGACGGAAAACCATTTGGTAGGATCATCCATGTGGTCTTATTAGTTCGATTATATCATAGAAATATCACCTATTAGTGTCCCACCAGTCGAATCACGATGCGGGATTCTGCGCACCTCACCCTGGTGGACCAGGACCCTAAGCTAGTCACGTGGTACCTCGTTTGCGCAAATTCTACGCGTACCCTTCGGAATGACCTTTAGGTATCTGTCCATCACATATGCGATAGACGTCGCTAACTTTGCTCGTATAGGCGATGTACCGATGCTAATTGCATCGGACATCCTACCCGGGTGTTTGCACTGACACCACATGACACATGAGTAAAGCAATCCACCTTCAGACATGAACCTGGAACTAATGTGCCAGTTGAAATTACCATTTGCAATATGCGGCCGAACCTTCTGAACCTTCTGATACCCCCATTTATAAGTAAAAAAATTCATCAGTTAGGGCCACCACAAAAAAAATTAAAACTAATACCTGACGTTGAAGACGTTTTCACCAAACTCATATCCGTTTTTATCACCTGAAAGGCCAAAGACAGCCGATTCGTACATACGGTATACCAACAAACCATTGTCTACCACAACCGTTGACGCCACAACCTACAATTACCGAGTTTTGCTGCGAAGAACTTCGGACAGTATTCACCCGACAGCGCACGGCTGAAGGAGAGAGGAGACCACATATCCTAAAGGACATCTGGTCGGCTTCGGATAGAACGATGTCAACTTCTTAAGCGTCTAAATACTGATTACACAATTCGAATGATGTCTGGAGAAGGCGTAGGGGACAAATAAGGGATAATCACAAATTTACATAGTGTTGTCTAGTTTCCGGTGATTTTGAGGATTGTTCTGGTGCTAAATGTGAGCAAACTAGACCAAAGACATCATTCCCACAGGCAACAAATTAGCACAGCTGCTCAACGTCAAGCTATTTTATAACCCATGATGCTTCGCTATTCGGCAAATCTGCATATTTCACCGCCGAAAGAGGTTACTTGGAGTGACCGAAACGTCCGGGTGATACACTCCAGCACGTGACACGCATCCCGTCAGTTATCAACCACACTCAAATGTCTGGGGATGACGATCACACTGACGTGAAAGGTTCCAGTGAAGCTTGACTAAGAACCGAAAGTTCCACTCAAGTGGACTAATTTGTGCGCGTTCGATATTTATAGAAGAGCAGAGCAGTTAGGTTTTGTTGTGACCAGTGGCGTGAACTGAGTAACGCCAATGGGGCAATTGGTGAAATATAACCCTATATCAAACACAAAACTGATGTGGGAAACAAGAGAACAGGGGACAATCTTGGTAGCAGAATTAGAAAGACAGCAAGTGGAGACATCTGCTACGCCGAGCGCGTGTATTCACACGAACTAAACCATATGAAAACCACAACATGTGGCAACACACAAGTGTCTACGCCGAGGGCTGGCTAAATGAGTAGCTTAAAGCGGGGTAGCATTGTTGTTCTTACCTCTCGATATCAAATATGGGAACAGTTATACCACACCAAGGTAATGAAATCCTCATTCCACATGTGAAAGATAGTAATTCTGACATCAATCCAAGTGAGTAAAGGCTAGTAAAAGACAACAGGCTGCATTTGGTACGACTTTGGAAACAACTACCACAACAATATAGAACAGCTGTGTGCGTTCATCTGCAACGGATAAGCGAAGTCGGCCACACATCGATCGAAACTTAAAATGTTAGTACGCGTGCACTCATCGACTGCCATAGGGTTATCAATGGTTGCAACACGAAAGCAGAGTGACAGATGAACACATCACAGCGGGAGATTCAGAGAAAACAGCAGGCAGTAAGTCATCTGTACGACTGTATTGTTACCAATCACTAACGGACAGATTTAAACCAAATCAAAGGCGATTAGAGGGACGAATTGAGAATGAGACGAGCACATACATCGAGGAATGGCCATCAAAAGAGCTGAGGGTTCAATTTTATCCTCTAGCGTAGGAGTCGATTACTGGGGCTATCTATTCCAAGGCACCAGCGGGAGGATACTCAGCCGTGTACACTGATCAATGAGTCAGTATGACATGAGATCACTTTGATTAGGTAGACGGAAGTTGCATTCGTTGGAGTGGGTACGACGATAACGGGAACGCTCAGGCCAGGTCAAAAAAACATGGTCTAGTAATAAAACGTTCCGAATGAAGGGACAAGGGGAACAGTAGCTATGAGGGAAAATATGGAGCGCATAAAGTCTATCCATTAGTTCTACAAAAGTAGAGATCATGTTAAAACCACCCACTTTTGAACACGGAAAACTGGTTCCGGCTATGAACACTTGTCAAATCTATTAAAGTGAATTTTTAAAATAACTGACAGACATTATAGCATCCATAACGAAACTCGCAGTAGAGACTAGTTGAATATGTACATTGGGTGAATTTAAAATAGTCAGCGTAAAATACTTTCGCTGGGCAGATGCTGTCTTCACCAAACAACTATAATTTCACCTAGGCGCTCAAAAGTTGTTTTTAAAAATAGCCCTATCTTGGTAGAACAAACCAAAAGATTTTTGACGTTGCCAGATCGTCCTTTCTATCTAAAGTCTCTCATAACCTTCATTTGGAACTTTTTTTTCATCAATCTGTGGCCATTCACCTCAAGCTCCTTCCATCGTAACCCCAATTTGAGCACGTTATATTGCATCGGGCTACACGTTTGACTTTTTATTCTCGAACGTAGTTGATGTCCACAAAGCATCGGTATCTCTTGTGATGATAGTGGGTGAAGGAATAAGGTGTCACGAATTATACGACAGAAGAAAATGTCCATTATTCTTCTCCACTTGTCTCGAATGAGAAAAGATGAGTGGTTTGATATTGTGCACACATTCTAGTCAACAAAACGGTTGATCAGCCATCTGTGCCTTTAAAATAGTGTCCAGCTTCTAACCAGGAACGGTAAGCGTTCGAATGTTCATGGGAATTCATGACACGTAAACGGCCGACAATTCCTAAAAGTGTGAGCCCGAAACAGCTCAGCAATTATGGAGGAAACTACTAACAAGAAGGCCCGCGATTCGAATCCAACAGTGGTTTTTGGATTGCTCCTGTCTAGGACTGAGCAAACTAACAGCACCTCCTCGTCTCTTGTGTTTCCTTTGAGTTGACCATACACCAAAAGGATCCCACAGTTGAACTATTTTACCTTTACAATGGTTTTTTGGCTTTTCAACTGGATTTGTAAGATGAGACCCAGAAATGGGACAAAATGCCCACTGAACAACTTACCTCAATTGAGTCGAGCAAGTATTGGAAGATGAGTAGTGGGAAGTCCGGTTGTCTCCATAGGTGATGGTTGTCCAAATGACTACGGGGCAAAAAGGATGAAGGGAAGAAACAAAAGACGTGAAATACAGATGAGCACACCTGAAAAATGAAGATCCCAATGTGGCTAGAGGTCACAAAGAATGCGGCTTCTATTCATCTATGTTGATTAGCCCAATTAAAATTAAACTGGAGTATGATCAAAAACGAGCCCGGTAGATACCCGATTGACGAATCAATCACACAATTCATAATACGCACAGGAATGTTGCTGATCTATTCTGTAAGTTGTCCTGGCGTATTTGACGGTGATTTGTGCTAGAATATACCTCTGGACACTGTGGAAAGATACCCAAACCCCCTAATTCGAACCAATCACAACCCTCCTGGAAAATACTCACGTGTTACAGAAATCGTTATCAGTACTTCATATATTCACCTTTGTGAGCAGTCAACTTTGTGGCCCTATTTACGTATATGTGTCCTTGAATTACGGGTTTTGATGCTTGTGTTGTCATGATATAAGTATTTTACTCACTTTGCATTTTGTTACCACTTTCCAACTTCCCCATTTGAGCACAGGTACTTGATTCTCAATCTGCAGGTCTTTCATCTTCTCACTGTCAACCATGAAACTCACACAGCGCTAGTTCCAACTCTGGCACATGGAAAGCTATTGTCTTGGAAATCCCGGAGATGAAACAACTTCCTCGACCACAGCGCCTCGACGGGAACTATCTGCCTCGGACACTGTTTAACAGTGGATTCGTTAGTTTCATACTTTCGACACTCTTCTAAATTTGCTCTCGTCCCATTCATCCGGCAAACTGGAGTATTTGATCCACTTCCACGCAATTTACCAAGTAATATCAGAATGTGAAATATATGCTCATGCTGCTACTAGATGTTAGCCGTTGTCTGCTAACTGAAAACTGTCGTCCATTCTTGCCATCAACTGAGTACCTGATGGAAAATCGAAAGACTTCTGCAGAAGCGAGATCCTTCTGCATGTACCCAATTTTTTTCAGGCAGTAACAGAATGAGATCAAATAGCACAATCTATCTGTTGATGATACCTTCATCGCCTGCCTTCAAACGTATGCAAGTGAGCAGAGGCTCAGTGAACGCAGTCTCGGAATATGTGTTGCATTTCTCGCAGTCTTGAGCTTAAGCTTTTGAGTCACTGGATTCGTTCGAGGACCCTAATAGTCTTACTATCTCGGTAAGGGTGCCCTGGCAGTATATCAGCCCGCGCATAGCCATGATTTCTACGACAGCGAAGTATCGGTATAGAACAGTATTGTTCTGCTGTCGACGATGAGGAGGAGGAGGAGGACGACAGTCGAACATTCAATCGCTCACTCCCTACAACGAAGAAACGACTTTATCCGGATTTCAGTTTGTACTATCTCCAGTTAGTTTGATCTAACTAGTGATTGTCATCAAACACGGAATGAAAATAGGTAGCTTTTGAAGATTGTGGAGACGTTTACCAATCCTATTGTGGTTTATAGACGGGAAAGACGCAATTCAGTGAGAATCATCGTACCGCCGAGACGCACATGCCTAAATATCCACCTGAAGTTGTTTGAACCAGTCATGTTGCACGTTACGGAAATTTACTTTATTCAACTGAAGATGATTAATGTACGCCAAAGTAATGTGCTAAAGGCAGAATTTTTCAACCCAATCAATTTAAGTCTTATAAAAGCTACTCAGGTATTAGATATGCCATGTCATTCTTAACCCTTAGGACACTTAGTTCATTAAAAAAATTAATATTCCCCCCACCCGCCAATCAAATTTGATATTTCACTGCTTTCATGCGTGTTTCACACAAATTTGATCTTCTCTACATAGACTTACTAACCAAAGGTTCCAATTAAGCTAGTGTTACACTTCGCAAGTATTAGAAACGGTGACGTGTATTTGAGTGATGAATTGAATATGTGCCACCAGAAACAATGAAACGAAAATTACGGACGTGTTGACACTAAAGCAGTAACTCGAACCCCAAAAATATCTTCAAGGATGTTCTTGGAATTATAGTGGTCACCGAACACTTTCAAACAGATGCACGTGACGCATACAGAGAAACTGTCCTACCATGGAATTTAGACAAACGGATTATTGCTATTATTATTACTACTACTAAGGAAAACGGAAATCAGCAAAACAGCTTACGTCAGGATAGATTTAATCACCGGTTTGATATTATTATATGACGCGCGACGGACAATATCTTTGAAAACGAATACGGCTTCTTGTGAAGGATCTTCCTGGGGATCCTGAGGGTCAACCTCGGGTCTGAATGGGGAAAGGGGAGACAACCGTTGTCCTCAGATATGCGGAACATTGTATATCCAGGTGAACCACAAATCACATCGATACTGGTGGTGTGAGTTGCGACAAACGATGATCATGAAGGTGGAAAGACACGCAAGCCAGCCGCTAACAGACGTGAAAAATAAGCTAAACGTACGATCAACCACATGCAATTTTGACTAACTTCAACCCAAAGCCTAACACACTTCTTAACGTGAGGCGTTATTGCAGTGAACCAGGAGAAGCGAAATTGCGAAAGGAAACTCGCCATCCACTATGCACGGTCTAGGAGATTCAAGAAGTTCCACAAGATTTCGAAGATTAATAAACAAAAAAATTCGGCGGAATATGGAGGACTATTAGGAATTAGTGTTCTGGCTCGTATGATGCTCAACTAATCCGTCACTGTTACCTTGGAGGAAAACGTTCCTGAAAGACAGTGGGAACTTCGAAATAGTCGAAGTAAATGTGTTTACTCTGCCAAACAAAAACAAGACAACAGACTTGAACGGAACAAACCAGGTTACCGAATGCTTGCGGACTTGACCAGATTCGTGAGCAGAGAAGTACTGGGGATTCAGTTGAGTTGCCCGTGAACATTAAATTAGACTGCAAACTTAGTTCGAGCATTGCGTACAATTTGGTAATCAAGTGAAACAGGAGGTCGATGGAAACGTCGGGACTGCACCTAGTCGATGAGCACCAAGGACAAAGCCAGAAGAGGGCTGTCGAGGACATATCAGCGGCCTAACGAGTAACGTATTCCGTCAAGAAAAAAGTACCAAGGAATGTGTGATTCCGTGGTTCTTGGACCAGCCAGCTGTTAATTAAATCACATATCACTGGTACGGAGTTGACACTGATGATTCACTACCGTACAACCACAAAGTTTATTTAATTATATTTAAAGCCTAATAGCGAAAATGGAGTGGGTGAGGCAAAAACCTAGTTTTGGCCTACCACAAGCACTCTGACGTGCTTATACTTCCAAGCGCTCGATGAAACAATCTGGAAAGAAGCTGAAAGCATGAGCACCACTAACGTCGATTAGCCACCAATTCTTGCAATGTCGCCAGCCAAGCGCAAGCCCCCAAGGATTGTTAAAATACACGTAGCAATCCGTCGTCCGATGACTGTTCATCAGTAAATCCTATTAGGATGCCATCCATTAATGGTGAGCCGTGCGGTTCGCCAGTTAGAAGACACGGATTTTTCTTCGGAAAAACCACAACCCACAAGAGTGTCAGTTCTGTGAGGAGCGCAAATATTCCTCACGTAACGCTCTAAAACTTGTTCCTAATGCTGCACTGGTTTTCCAGCCAGTATACCGACATCTTGGTGAATACTAAAAAAGCAAAGTTCCATCAGGTTCTGCTAAATAGACTGCTACCCACGATGATCAGTATAGGCATCTAGTGACATTTAGCGAGGGCAGTGGTAAAAAAGACAACGAATGTTACGGTCCGCGTGAATTCTAAGCAGATACAAATTTCAACGCGATATCCATTGAAAAAAGGAATTTCCAACTCAGTCGCTCTGAACTCTGAACTACAACTCCGAACTACATCACGGTGTCCGAGTGTTCATATGATGTTGGATTATCATTACTGCTGAGTCGAGAAGCAGCGTTTATTCAAAAACCATTACCCATATGTGCTACTCTGTTTGTGCACTATATGGAAAGCAATGGAGCAGAAGCAGTACGAGTACAGTGAACAGACTGTCCTAAAAGCAATGTTCGAAGAAACATTCACACTGTGTCCTGGTGACAACCCGGTGCACACTGAATGAATGAATCGTTCAGCTGTAACACCCTTTCGGTGCCTGGATACCATGCAACCTGAAGGAAGCACGAGGGCTGAGATACTGCCAGGTTGCCCAAACCTAGACAGGAGCATTCGAGATACAGAGGTTGGGTTCGAACCACGGACCCTCTGGTCAATAGGCTCACCCCTTAACCACTGAGCTACCTCCAGGTGAGTTATCCCAGTACACACTAAAGAAACTAAATCGGATGTTGGTTACTCCATCCTCCAAACCGAACAGAACGAGCCACAAACGTACTGCAACAATAACTGTTTCATTGAACCAGCTACACTGCTTCAATGGAACAACGGGACAACAACAGCGGAACAACGGAACACTCACTTTTCACAAATGTTTAACAGAAGGGAGGGAATGATTTTGTCCATATTCGGACCATGAACAACATCCAGGTGAATCTGATCGTCCACGGTTTTCCGAACAACGCCCTGAATGCCACAGATACCAGCTCGTCGAACACTGAAACGAAAAAAGCTGAGACATACTGTCGTAAACTATTACCGGTTCCGTTCTTTTACATCCCTCAAAGATGCATGAGCCATGAAGGTGAAATGATCAATCAGGTCATTATATTCCTTAAAATAGTTAGGGACTTCATCTTCAAGCTGAGAGAATTCCACAAACTGCAAGTGTTGGTAATCGAGCTTAGTAGGAACTAGAGGAAACTATACTGAGTTGGCTGCAAGAATTTGAAGATCAGTTTGGTTTGTCTGTAACAGGAGGTGAACCATTCGCAAGAACTCCTGAGCAAGCACCAGTCGCTGACACCGACATTCCTTGAGCAGAACATTGATGGCATCAATAGCAATGTACATGTATCTGAAAACGAGGGTAAAGTTGGATACAAGGCAAAACCACATGCTTACGGGTCGTATCTTCGGTGGACATCCTGCGCTAGGCGTTTGTACAAGTATTTGGCTATTCGGTCCAACTTGTCAGGTTGATGCAAACAATAGTATATCAGTTTATTTTGATTGTGTGGTTCCTACAGTAAGTAATCGCCAAATTACGCATGCAAGGAAGATCAGGCAAACCTGTGGATTCCCAGAATAGAGGTTGTCAACCATTCGCATCCATTTCGGTCGACACGGACCGATTAACACGCAGGGAAGTCGACAACCTAAGAAGAGTTAATGAGAACAAACTTAATCGCACTTACGGTTACACCGACACATGTACGGTGATCTCACGTTGGTTACTTGGGTAATTTTTTGCGAGCATGCACCACAGTGTAAAACTCGTCAGCTTTCAGCAAGGTTCGAACATTTTTGTCGTACTATGCAGTGATGATTGACAGGTTGCTATAGAAGAGTTTAGGAGTGACAATAATTATTCAGATACAAAAGCTGAATGGGCAGAGCTAAGAATAAAACGAGAATGTATCTCAACCTCGACTAGTGAGCGTTGCGGCGCTCAGTAAACTAGTAGTGTTCGGAAGATAGGTAAACTGGTCACACGTGAAAACGAAGTCACTATATGGTTCAAAGGGGTGGTATTTGATCAGTTGATGGAGACTGTCCCTCTTGGAGTGTAAGAAAATTCGTTCAAGGCGTTCACGCAAAGACATTTTCACCATTATTGTACCTCTAACATTCCTATAATAATTAAAACGCCCCGATTTTCTATAATAAACAGTGGTCACGTGTGTCATTGGGTAAAGCGAGTATGCTGTTTGTGTGCTTTACATCACTGGGTGCTTTACATCATGTCAGCAGTTCTGACAAGCACAGGAATATCCAGCATCATGATCCTCAATGGCTGTTCGATAACTCGTTGTACTTGATGAGAAGTGCTCCACAGAGGTGAGACCAATTACTAAGGGTGCTTCTGGTGAGGTTGGCCAGATTATTGGGATAAATGGGAGCTCATGGCACGCCGCAACAATCATGTCAATCAACTTGGAAATGTCTGTGGGTTGGTCACGGTTCGCGGACCGTCTACCGAAGTGCCCTGCGAATTTATCCCATATGAACGCACGGTCCGGAGCAGTCTACGTAGCCCAGAACAATGGACAGACCTGCACAGAGTTTCTCCGGTGAAAATTTATTATCATATGATTCAATCTGTGTCCCAATTTGATCAGTCAAAAGGAATTTAAGCGGGACGCCAACGAGTATTATGTCGCTAACGATGAGTGCCTACACAAAGTTGTAGTGAGTACCCACAAGTATCCTTCCGCAGAGGGCAAATGGAATGTCAGCCACCTAAGCTGCTTTACCCGTGTCAAGCCTATCAAGCTCAGTGTTCACATCTCCGATCCATATCGCAATGTTTGTACTGCGGACCTTCTGATAACTTGTGGTGATTCAGAGCTACAGTTTGTAGATGGAGAGCAATCTGTTCTGTAGCGCTCTTATGATAACATAAGCCATGTAACCTACCGTTTACTTGGAACAAATCGAACAACACACACGCCTAATGCAACCCTCACGTCAGTCGGCCATGGGACAACATGGTGGTAACTGGAGTTCGTGACTGTACCTGAGGCTGGTACCCAGTGAATATGGAATGATTCTCGTGCCTCTCGCAGTCAAATTTTAGGGACTGCAATTATCTTAAGTGACCGTAAATCGAATGACACTAGATTACGGCGACAGCGCAAATCATGGAACACACTTCCCAGTATACTGGTCCCAGGAGGATCTGTAGTGGCATGGCTACATAGCCAGAAAATGCACCATAATGGGGTTGCCGTGAAGATTCTTGTAACGTAAAGTAAAAAGCTTGAGGATTAAAGGCCAAATGAGATGTAAATGTTCCGAACCGCCAGCATCTCGACGAAGTAGCAGCCTAAGGAGTAATCGTTTACCACAAATGTAATTCACGTTGTGTTAAAGTAGTGTAAACCTCTTATGTCCAGTCCAAAGAACGAATTCGCATTAATTTATTGTCTTCGGAGCCTTTGGCTGGAAACGACCTGCATAGCGAGAAACCGATGGACATAGATAATGATAATAATCATTCAGCTGCAGCAACCTTTCGGTGCCGAACTGCCATGCCACCCGAAGGTTGCACGAGGGCTTGGATACTGCCAGGTTGCCCAATCCTAGACAGGGGAAGTCGAGAGGCAGAGGACCTTCCGGTCATTAAATTCGCCCTCTAACCACTTGGGCTATCTCGCCCGACGAACAAGCATAATAATATACCAATATCCCGTGACTGTTTCCAGATCCCAGGCCCTTCTGATGAGGACCAACCATTAAGAGTGCCCAGTGTGCTACCCGTTTAAAAAGCTTACCAGTGAGCAGCAGACAATTTTACGCCCATATCGGCCCAACGGCAGGTTCAAGCAAATGGTGCCTCGGGCGAAATTTGTTGGTGATTCGGGTTTTAACCGACCCCCCAAAGAGGCACTCGAGAACTGCCACTTCCATGTGGTGATCTGGCTTGAACGATGCAGACCGCGGCGGATGGAACTCAGTTCTACAAGGTGCAGTCACGCCATAAGGGTCAAGGAGGAACGGTCGGATGAAGGGCGGCGAGTCACCGTACTAAAAGTACGCTAATACGAGGCGGTCTGAAAGTAAGGCCGCACTATCCCCATGATAGGAATGTAAAGGCAGTATGTCCATATTTGTAGAAACAGCAATTCTGCCTTACCCAAAGGATGAAAGGGCTAGAAAAGGTTCAAAAAAGAAAAGGCCCGAAAAATGGTAACTTCGATCGTTCAACGATTGACCGTGGCCGCCAAAGAACTATCCAATACCGCCGAAATACAATTAAAACTTATTACTTACTACTCGATTCCAAAATGTATAGTAGTCTCCTACTGCCTCGAGGTTCAAGATGGGGAATCTCAAACAAATTCCAGTCCAAGGCTTGGTTCACTGCAGCTCTCCAAAAAAGTTGGTCAACTTTTAAACAGAGCATGTGACCAAGCCAGCGCCACCTATGGAGTTTGATAAGTTTATCTATAATAATCGTTCAGCCGTAACACCCTTTTGGTGTCAAGCCAACATGCCACCCAAAAGAAACACCAGGGATGAGGCTACCCAATACTGAACAGAAGCAGTCGAGACGCAGAGGCTGGGCTTAAACCACGGATTCCCCCCCCCCCGTAAGTTCGCGCCTTAACCATTGGGCTATCTCGAGCTCAGCTCATCTATCGTAGACGATTTTTATTTCTTCCGAAAACCACTCGACTTACTTCAGCACTACGGGCAGATGACCTCGCCAGAGTCGGTCAGTGCTCCCGAGAATCCGATGGTCCAACACTAGGGCCAATTCATTCGCCACTTTACCGAATGTAAGATATCGCCCAGTGAAAACAAATGATCCAATACCAAGCTCAAAAGATCGGATGCATATTGAAGCTTTTAATGTCCGTACTCCCCGTCTAATTATGCAACAGTTACATCTTGCTAAAAATCCGCTTCCCATTTCTACCGATTAACGTTGTCTCCCAAACATGCATACGAGGTCCTACTTGGTTCATGTGCCTCAAACCTCTAAAGACGAGCTCAGATATGATACACTTCACTCTTGATCGCATGACAGTGAAGTATCTGTGTCAACACTGATGTTGCTGCCTCCGATGACGATGGTCTTGATGAGGAGGAGGATTGACGATGATAACTGGACAAGATTCCATTCAATGGTCGTCCCTGTACCAGTTATCTGGTTCAGTACGAGCTGATGCGATAAGTGGTGTTCGCCTGTCGTATCGGTATGCGTGGCAACAAACTGCAGTTCTGAGTCTGAAAAGGATATGGTTTAGGATGGCTTCCGTCGGTAAGGACAGCTATTGTCACCTTGGCTGATAAAATAAACTAGGCAAGCGCTGTGAGGTGGTTGATTTGGAGTCAATGTCAACTCCACCTCCTTCGGTTGTGTGCTGAACCTCGATTCATCCCGATCAGCATGAACGTTCAGCACACCGGTCATATCAAGTTACTTAGATGCCACAACCGAAGAGTCAATCATGGACCAAGTTGGAGTATGTGGCTGTCTGTC